CGTAAGGCTGTTGCAAGGGTTTGCGTACCGAATCTAATCTTATGAAAACATGTAGACAGGTAGGTAACTCTGGAGGGAGAGCGGCCTAACGATGCTGTATTCCAGTTGACACCAGAGGCAGTCTTCGCACGCCATGTCGTGCCGTCTGCCAATTCAGTGGCGGAGCATTGAATAATCGCCTTCAAGCTCATTCTGATACATAAGAGGACGAGCTGTAAGATTCCGTACCATTAGTTGTCCTCGTGTGTTCGAAGAGCGTCTTTAGGTTGGCGTTGAAACAGTTAAACTTAAACCGTTTGAAGCTGAGTGTTAGGCGGCAGCAGAATGTACAACGGGCCGGGGCAAACCATTAGAGTTACAAGTTAGAATACCCTCATGCTTAGTGATATGACCCAAGAATTTTATTTCTGCTTTGCCCAGTTCCATTATCCGAAAGGCATTGGAATAAAAGTGTAAGATGTTGATAATGCTCATCTACGTTTGATGACGCGATCATCAGATCATCGAAATCGAAATCTTTTACTATGCTATTGATAAACCTTTGGAAAGTTTGAGCAGCGTCCAGTAATCTAAATGGCATTCGTAGGAACTCCAAAAGACAGAAAGGAGTTGTGATAGCAGTTTTCTCGATATCTTCAGGAGCGACTGGAATCTGATAATATGCTCGTACCAGATCAATCATAGAATAGATAATCATGCTTTTGAGCGATGCCATCATGTCATATATGTGGGGGATGAGATAGCTATCGAAACGCTTAGCTACATTTAATGCTCGGTTGTCACCACGTGGTCGTCAACTTATCTCAACCATTTTGCGAACCATGTGGAGTGGTATAGGTTAGTCATTTCCGCAGTCTAACATGGCGCAAATAAACCTGTATCCATTTTCTAACTTCACTTTTTGTTCATAGCTTCACAACTTCGCCCGTAAATTTAGGTGTGCTGCCTTAAAACCGGCCTTGTTGACTTCCATCTCCATTGAGGTTTAGTTTATAGCGAATTGAAGCTATATTACGGCAATAACTGCCTTGAATCCCGTCAGAGGTAGAAACCAAAAGACCAGATGCAATTGCAGTTAAAGTCTATTTATTGGAGACCTCGTGGTATCGAAATAATAACAAGATCCATCCAAAATGTACAACCGAGACTATCAAGAGTACACAAGCGAGCCGAAGGTCAGTGAAGGTGGGACGATGTCTGTTTCGGGTACAATTAAAGAAATGAGTACAGCAAAACGATCACCGGTACAATGCGTTGTAATAATGAATGTTTGTATTAAGCCAGTCGTGTTCTCTTCATAAAAATGGAGTCACTACAAGTTACTCTTAACGTCGTCTGGAAAATTAAGTTATCTGGTAGTTCCTTCAGTTTCACTCTTGAGTTGCTCAAACAGTGTCTAAGTCACAGGAAAGCATGATCTTTACCTTACTGTTAGCAAATCTCAAGAAAATGATAATAATAATTGCTATATATAGACAAAGGTGATCTATATTCATTCGCATTAGGTTTACTACTGACATCCAATTAACCAGTTGATTTGCGTCTCAATGCTATTTTACCCAGTGATATGTCTGGGAAACAACTCCGCCAGTAGAACCTTAGGGGCTACTGCCGGTCCCAAGCCCGGATAAAGGAGGAGGGTTGGACATGGGGTTGGCGACCCCATTCCGTTGAAATCTCACTTGCCAAAAAAACGCTAACCAGAAAAAATAATTCAAACCATTTTAACTCTGCCCTGGGAGTTGGAGGAAGAATCATGACGTCGCATGATGAAAGCCGAGTTCCCTCGGAAGTCACGGGGCTGATGCCTCTTCTGACAACCAGAGCAACCATTTTTTTAGGTACATGGAACGTTCGTACATTGTGGGAGACTGGAAGACTATTTCAAGTTGCTGCAGAAATGAAACGATACAACCTCGAGGTGCTTGGAATCAGTGAAACGCATTGGACACAAGTAGGACAACTGAGACTAGCTTCAGGGGAACTGCTGTTATACTCTGGTCATGAAGAGGAAAACGCTTCACATACACAAGGAGTTGCACTGATGCTGTCCAAACATGCACAAAAGGCACTGATAGGATGGGAATCTCATGGGCGGAGGATCATTAAAGCATCCTTCAGAACAAAGAAAGAGGACATTACAATGAACGTCATCCAATGTTATGCACCTACCAATGACTACAATGACGACGTTAAAGATCAATTCTACGAAAGGCTGCAGTCAATCGTCGAGAAATGCTCACCAAAGGATTTGACGATTCTTATGGGAGACCTGAATGCCAAGGTTGGAATGGACAACATTGGATATGAAGACATCATGGGACGACATGGACTGGGAGAAAGGAACGAAAACGGTGAGAGATTTGCAAACCTATGTGCCTTCAACAAACTGGTCATCGGTGGCACAATATTCCCGCACAAACGCATTCACAAAGCCACATGGATTTCACCGGATCACACTACTCAAAACCAAATTGACCATATCTGTATCAACATAAAGTTCAGAAGGACCATGGAGGATGTGAGAACCAAGAGAGGAGCTGATATAGCTTCAGATCACCACTTGCTGATCGCCAAAATGAGATTGAAGCTAAAGAAGCACTGGACAACGGGGCAGACAACATCACAGAAGTTTAATACGGCCTTTCTTCGGGATACCGTAAAACTCAACGAATTCAAGATAGCCCTCACCAATAGGTTCCAGGCCTTTCAGGATCTACTCAATGGAGAGGAAGCAACATTGGAGAACAATTGGAAAGGGATTAAGGAGGCAATCACTTCAACATGTCAGGAGGTCCTTGGTCGCAAGAAGCACCATCACAAGGAATGGATCTCTGTTGGTACTCTTGCAAAAATTCAAGAAAGGAGGAACAAGAAGGCAGCAGTGAATGTCAGCCGAACAAGAGCAGAGAAAGTTAAGGCGCAAGCCGAGTATACAGAAGCAAACAGGGAAGTGAAGAAGAGCATCAGAGCTGACAAACGAAAATATGTGGAAGATCTAGCAATGACGGCGGAAAAGGCTGCAAGAGACGGAAACAAGAGACAATTGTACGAAACTACAAAGAAGCTCGCCGGGAACTATCGTAAACCAGAACGACCAGTGAAAAGCAAGGAAGGGAAAGTAATCAGCAACACTGAACAACAGCGAAATAGGTGGACAGAGCACTTTAAGAAACTCTTGAATCGACCAGCTCCACTGAACACACCCAACATCGAAGCAGCATCCACAGATCTCCCAATTAATATTGGCGCACCTACGATTGAGGAGATCAGTATGGCCATCAGACAAATCAAGAACGGTAAAGCAGTAAGACCAGACAACATTCCAGCACAGGCAATGAAAGCAGATGTAGAAGCAACTGCGAAAATATTTCACATCCTCTTCAAGAAGATTTGGTATGAGGAACAAGTACCATCAGATTGGAAAGAAGGATACCTGATCAAAATACCAAAGAAAGGCGATCTCAGCAAGTGTGAAAACTACAGAGGCATCACTCTTCTCTCAATAGCAGGCAAAGTCTTCAACAGGGTATTGTTAAACAGAATGAAGGACTTCGTAGACGCCCAACTTCGAGATCAACAGGCCGGATTTCGTAAGAATCGATCATGTACTGACCGAATTGCTACATTACGGATCATTGTGGAACAATCAATTAAATGGAACTCACCACTCTACATCAACTTCATCGACTACGAGAAAGCATTCGATAGCGTGGATAGGAAAACACTGTGGAGGCTTCTTCGACACTACGGTGTGCCTGAGAAAATAGTCAACATCATACGGAATTCTTATGATGGATTCAAATGCAAAATCGTGCACGGAGGTCAGCTGACAGACTCTTTTGAGGTGAGCACCGGTGTCAGGCAAGGTTGCTTACTCTCACCCATTCTCTTTCTCCTGGTGATCGACTGGATTACGAAGACGTCAACATCTGGAGGGAAGCACGGTATCAACTGGACAGTTAGGACGCAGCTGGACGATCTGGAATTCGCAGATGACCTGGCTCTTCTATCTCACACGCAACAACAAATGCAAGAGAAGACGACCAGTGTAGCAGCAGCCTCTGCAGCAGTAGGTCTCAACATACATAAAGGAAAAAGCGAAATTCTCCGATGCAACACAACATGCACCAACCGAATCACGCTTGATGGAGATACCTTGGAGGACGTTAATACCTTCACATATCTTGGCAGCATCATCGACGAGAAAGGTGGATCGGACGCAGATGTGAGGGCGCGGATTGGCAAAGCGAGGGCTGCATTTCTACAGTTGAAAAATATCTGGAACTCCAAACAACTTTCAAACAAAACCAAAATCAGGATTTTCAATACAAATGTGAAGACAGTTCTACTGTATGGAGCGGAAACATGGAGAACTACCAAAGCCATCATCCAGAAGATACAAGTGTTTATTAACAGTTGTCTACGCAAAATACTTCGTATTCGTTGGCCAGACACCATCAGCAACAACGAACTGTGGCAGAGAACAAACCAGATTCCAGTGGAGGAGGAAATCAGGAAGAAGCGGTGGAAGTGGATAGGACATACACTACGAAAAGCACCTAACTGCGTCGCGAAACAAGCCCTCACATTGAACCCTCAAGGCAAAAGGAAAAGAGGAAGGCCAAGGAACACACTACGCCGAGAAATAGAGAAAGATATGAGAGGAATGAACAAACATTGGACAGAACTGGAGAGGGAAGCCCAGGACAGAGTTGGTTGGAGAAAACTGGTTGGCGGCCTATTCTCCATTAGGGTTAACGGCCGTAAGTAAGTAAGTAAGTAAGTAAGTAATGTCTGGGAAACAATTCCAGGAATTCATTACCTTGCTCTTTGAGTTCCTCTGTACTTCCGGCCAAATAAGGCAACATTATGACGTTGACAAGTTTAAAATACAATTCAACTAGTCACACAAGAATGATTACAAGACAGTTGCGATGCAACTGTTTGAAAACTGAATGAATATTCTTGTGAACTACTGTTACCAAAATGTGTAAACAAAGGAATGATTGTATTTCGATTAAAAATTAATATTGACGTGACTATAGGTTTCTATAGGATTTTTTTATCATACACTTGTTATAACGCACTATTTAAAGCCACTTAACCGAGCGTTTCTTCGTATAACAAACTACCTGGTGTACGTGACTGTTGTTTATTCTATTGGGAGAATAACACAACCAAGAGTTTCGAAACCCGATTTGCATTTATAGACATAAAGCCCTTGTGTTTTCTATTTGATATCTGTCTTGATTAAAAATGGAATGTAAAAGGTAACTTTTGTTCAATTTATTCTGCATTGTTACGTAAATTAATTTTTAGTTCATCATTCCAGCGTTTTCATATTTTTAACCTTATAAATCAGGCTGTAAAGTCCCTTATGTTTAGAGGTAGAGTTTTTGGACGAATATTCAGTTCATGCACTATATAAGTTTCTTCAGTTAGTTTTTTTCTAAAACTCTAAGTAATGCTCTTCGTGCATCATGTAATTAGATATTGTATGTGTTCATCTTGATAAAGTGCTTGATACTTATGTTCGTGTTCACCCTGTGCATCCACGCTTATGAGTCTTTTTTATTACATAGAATATTAAAACATAGAACCATTATTATGTTAACCGTACATTTCATTTACTTGCTTTAACAATTTGTTATTAGTTGTCGTATAAATTAGCGTCTATTCAAATCATGATAAGACAGGCGCTTATATTTTTTGAATATCAAAAGTCCTTTGCTGACTTTTTTCAAGATGCTTAGTAACGAACTCTCAGACAATCAGACTACGAATTTCATGCTCAGGATTATGCTTACTAATGCACTTTTTGTAACCGACATAGGAATATCACACTAAAAGACTAAAGGCATTGTGGCTTGTCGTCGCTCTTGTTGCCAGAAATAATTGGATTACTTTACTCGAGTGATTATTTCATTTCAGTTCCTAGTGTGACTTCCTACTGAATATTTAAGGATAATATGGATCGACTGTTAACAAAGCTGGAGGCTGATAAATCTTCGTACTGTCAAAGGATGTCATATCCTCTCCTCACAATGATAAACACTAAATAGACTACATATGATTGACCTATGGAATTAATTTCCAAAATTATAAACTGTATTATTAATCTATGAGCCACTCATATAGTCATGGATTCGCTACATTGTCTTTTTTAACTTAATCACCAAAGTTTATGCCCAATCTACTTGCAGACAAAAACATGTATGTATATACGCGCAAATCGAACGTTTATAGAATACTGGAAATGAATATTTACCGAGTAAACCGTTCAATAAGGCAAGGTACTTTCATACTTGCTGTAAAAATAAGTGACGGAGAAAGAAATACGGCCGGCAGAGATTATAACGGAGAGTGAGGCAAATAAGATATTTGCTACTACTCATTAAAAAAATTAAATAGATACTCATTGACAGGTAGCTCTAAATCCAGTTACTCACTCATCACAAATAAAACAGATACATGTGGTTTTCAGCTGCTTGCTTTTTATTGATTACAATGAAATAGGTTGAAAATTAGTCAGTTTTATGGGAAATAGACCCAGCATTTCAATGAGTGGTATTCTAAAAACATACGTTAATTTAATGTGTCCACCAAACAAGAATAACAAAGAACCATATCTGCTACAATGCTTCTTGTTCCCATAATCTCTTTTTCTAATTGACTTAATCACAGCAGAGTTGAAGGCTGTGAATACGTACGTGGTGATAAGAGACCAAGATCGAGAATAAATAAGAATAACAAGAAAGCTTGTTTCAACACGCCTAAATGTGATGATAAGGGTGATATTAGCAGATCTCAACACTAGCTCATAGGCCAGTGTTCTGAGTTCCTCATCAACCTCGTCTTTCTTTTTTTAAATTTATTTCACTGAATTATACTTCATAAATAATATTTTCCAACCCTCATCTTCTCCATCACTGATAATACTTCTACTACATCTACCACTATGGGATTTGAAATAACAATTGTATCTATGAGCTAATGTGGTATGGTAGCTTGAAGTGGTGTACGTACGAACGAAGTTCTTTGTTGTTACTGACTGACTGGCAGGAATCCGAGTATAAGAGTCGGTTTGCTATGGTAATACAAACCAAGTCTTTGACCGTAGCTGCTACCTTGACGTGGTGGTCGGGCTTGCCTATCGTGATCGCCCAAATGACCTATATTGGCTGGAACATATGTTCCTGAAGTTTCTACCATGGTTGGCAGGCCGATTGGAGAACAATGAGACTAAAAGCAGCTACTGCTGGCTGTAGAGGGGTGTGACAGCAGTAAGGTTTTTTTCTCGGACAACCAGCATCTGCAGCGATGCTGCCTTCTCACAAGGAAGAAAGGGTTATAAAAGGTTGACCCTAAAAATGTCACATCACCCTACCTCACGGATTTTCGTCTCCGGTGGTAAGGGTGCCCACTAAGGGCTTTCAAGAGCGGAGCTAATAATAATCGATGTATGCTGCATCTCGGAAACGCGCATGCAAGCTGGTGGTATATTCATTCATTTTATTTCACCCTATCAAAACAAAGAATCAGACTGATTTACTCTCCATGTATCTGGAAGCCCTGATGCTGCTTCCCGGGGTCTCGCTGATGTAGGTATAGCATTGAGTCGTAAGGCAGATCTAGCGCTCCTAGACTGGATCCCAGTAGATAGTCGCTTGTGAGCTGTCCAACTGAATGGTCAATACAGACTCGGATATATAGGGACACCCGTTGCTGCCTCTTCGTATCTGCCTACGCCTCCACTGGCTGCAGTTCAGACGAGGTTAAATATGAGTTTTACAGAAAGCTTTCGGACCTCCTCCAAAAAGCTAGGTACTCTGACATAGTAATAGTTGCTGGTGACTTCAATGCTCAAGTGGGTAGACTGAGTAAAAATGAAAGACATCTGGGTGGATGTTATGGTGTCGCGGCTCAAAAAACGGATAATGGCGTTCGTCTGTTGCAACTGTCCTCCGGTAACCGCCTATTTCTAACAAACACTAATTTTAAGAATAAGGAAAGGCATCTTTTGACTTGGTGGCCCCAGATTCGTCTCAAAGTTGGACCCAACTAGATCACATCGCCATCAGCCACCGATGGAGGTGTTCGATAGAAGACTGTCGTTCGTTTTGGAGCACATGTTTAGATTCAGATCATGCCTTAGTGTGAGCTCGTATTTGTTTGCGACATACTGGACGTAGGAAAGACGTCGCGAGGAAGCCTCTTAGGGTTTTACCTAATGATAATAAATTTGAGAATATATTTCAGGACCAACTAGAAAGAGAGATAGGCAACCATTTAAGCCATTCCCATCCGGAAGCAGGTTGGAATGATATCAAAAAACTGTGGAAACAGTAGTTTTATCTGCGAGTAAGGTAAACCATATGGCTAGACTGAAGCCGTGGATCTCTGTAGCATCCACCAAACTGATGGGTGCTCGTAAACTCATCCCACCTGGCTCTGAGTACAATTAGGAGCGGAGTCAGCTTTGGCGCAGGCTGATAAAAAGCCTACGCAACGACCGTGAACACTGGTGGGTGGCGAAAGCGAGAGAGATGGAAAAGGCAAAGGCGATAGGCAACAGTAGACAACTTTTCCGACTTATCAAGGAAACTGGTATTAGGAACCCGAATGTGGCTGAGACTATTTCGGAAAAGGATGGACTTATTATCCATTCCCAATCCAGGAGACTGGACCGGTGGGCAGAACACTTCAGGGATCAGTTCAACTGCCTCGAGCCACACTTTGGTTACCCACGATCTCCAGTCATCCTGAATGGCAAGTTTACGTAAGCCCTCCGAACCGTTACGAAGTTGAAAAAGCTATAGGAAATCTAAAGCAAAAGAGCGAGCAACAGGACTCGATAGATTGACTCCTGCGATTTTTAAGGATAGTGGTCCAGTTTTAGAAGCTAGATTGACTGAGATCTTAGGTAGAATCTGGGAACTGGGTGTAATCCTATCCGACTGATCTGAATCCCTTATTGTCCCAATTTACAAGAAAGGACAAAAGTCCTCTTGTGACAATCACAAGGGAATAAGTCTAGCTAATATAGTTTCTAAATTGTTGGCCTTGATAATACTTAGACGCCTTACTAGAGCTCGTGAAAAGCAGACTAGAGAAAACCAGTCTGGTTTCAGACCTAGACGTGGCTGTATAGACCACATCTTCACACTACGACAGGTCCTGGAACACAGACACACATTTATACGTCCTACAATAATTGTGTTCTTGGACCTAAAAGCGGCATTCGAGTCTGTTGATCGTGAGGTTTTATGGCAATGTTTGTCACTGAAAGGACTATGAGATAATTACATTGACCTTATTCGAGCTCTCTACTCGAACATCACTGGTCGAGTGAGAGCTTATGGCGAACTATGATCAGAATTTATTACTAAAAGTGATGTCCGTCAGGGCTGTCCACTTTCTCCATTCTTGTTTAACTTTGTCATAGACATGCTTTTAGAGGTAACATCATGTTTGTCTGACTTTTCAGAAGACACGCCTGTTGAATTAGAGTATGCCAATGACATAGTTCTATTTGGTAAAGACGCTGACTTCCCTAAGCAACTGTGTAAGCATATTTGGGATGCGATTCTCCCCCTTGAAATGCAAAATTTTGCTTCAGGTATGGGTTGCATCGGCACCTGAACTGGTGATAGGGAGTGGAGCTTTGGATTCACACAGATCGATTGTATTTCCCCAACTTATGTCATTTGTGGTGTAGGAGAGATATCGGTTTGCAATCCAAATGAAGAGTGTACTGTTTATTAGTTCTCTCCGTCCTACTGTGGTGCTGTGTTGCGAACTACTTATAAGTAGTATATAGCGTGAGTGTCAACGTAAAGTCTGGTAGCATAATATGGGGGGAAGATCAAGAAAGGAAGAGTCAGAAAACAATGGAATTTGTATGAAACGCATGAAGAGTGACAATGGATTGATGTTTGGCAACAGGAACAGTCCAGTTCCATAGGATGAACTGATGTTTTGCAAATGAACGATTTACGATATGGTTTTCCGATTTTACTGACTAACTCTGTAATTTTCGTTAAATACAATTCGGTTGCCCCCACCTGTGTTCTCTTTCACAACATTTGTTGTTTTCAAGTGATGCTCCCTTCTTTATGGTGCATTAAGTCGTTAGCATAATCTTTACCGGGGATTTTATTACTTCTGAATTTAAACAGTACTTTCAGAGAAGAGTCACATACTGTAACCATAATGATCACTTAAAAATAGATATTTCGTTTTGAAACCTAGTTTGTCAGTGTTTTCTTTTTCGCACAAATATATTTCTCTACAACTGTGTCTACATTTTCTAAATATCAGATAAACTCAAAAGCGTAAACGAATCTTTCCATTTTCTTTTTGTGTATATTGTCTAAGTGTAACTTTGTTTTCAATTGATACTTAAATAATTTAGCTTTCTAAAGATTTTTTTCGATCTCCAAATAGTAACGTAAAACATTTTGAAAGGAATCCTGTATACTGAGTACTGCACAAAAACTTGTACCTTTCCTGTAGCAGTCCAAGGCGTTTCGCTGTAGAAATAGTCACGGTTCTACTGAGTAATGACAAAGAGATTTATGTCCGTATTCATATATCTGATCTATCTACTTATCTGTCTGACTACTTCAATGTTCAAACATGATTCATATCGTATAAAGGATTTCTGAAAATTTTTGAATATTTGTGAGAATGAAGTTAAACAACTTACTAGGGATACTATGAAATAGTAATGAACTTTGTGAATGCTTTCTAAGTGGTACCAATTTATTTCGAGCTTAAGGTCGTGTGAAGATTCTTCTATTTGCTAACATTTTAACAATTCAAGTGTACAAACAGATCTTACCTACATTGTCTTAAAATATATGTGATTTGTTGACAGTTTTACTATGTTTTGATGAATAACACATGTTTTGTTCTGTGTTTGTCGTTTAATTATTGATATAATTCACAGTTAATAACTAGTTGCGTATTTATGAGAACATGAGAAAACTCTCCGTAGAACTTAAATTTATGTCATTAGTTAATAAGGTCATAGATCTCAATGATATCTCATACAGATTGTAAGCGGTTTGTTAGCAACTAAGATTATGTTTCTTCATGAGTCCCTATTAAATTCTGTAATGTTAGTCGATTACTTAGACTTAGTAATACTGCATTTCACAACGGAAAGTAATCACAAAAACTAACTTGTACGAAGAGAGAAGGACTAAAAGCTTTTCTTGTTATGAGTCAAGTAAAATATTATGAATTACTGAATTACTTCAGTCATTAAAATTATTCTGTTCAGGAAATTGGTTAGGTTGTAGCTTTCAATCTTAGCTCTACGGAAGTATATCTATTCAATGTTATTCTTTTAAGCCTCTTAATTCGTGCTAAGATTACAGGTAATTTTTTGTAAATATCTTTTTTAGATAGTTCAGGCTAATGCTTATCATTGCTAAGTTTCTTGTGTCGGAATTTTATGTGTATAGTTGTAAATTTGTTGAGACTATTCATCATTCCTTAGCTTACTGGTCTTTTCCAAAGTTTTGAATTACTAGATCTTTTACGAGTGTCCAGTAAAATTGAATTCTGTGTTACTTCGTTGAATATAGGTTTGAACGCCGAGCAACAGAATGGTTGCCTGGTATGGAAGGTAAATATGTTGCTCGTGGACAATTCACTGGTGGATGTATCGCGGTTCTCACAAGCGGTGGAGATGCACAGGGAATGAATGCAGCTGTACGAGCCGTAGTTCGTATGGGGATATACTGTGGATGCCGAGTATTCTTCATTAGAGAAGGATATCAAGGTCTTGTAGATGGTGGCGAAAACATTCAAGAAGCATCTTGGGCAGATGTTTCCGGTATTCTCCAATTGGTAAGTGTATAAAATAATTTATTGCACGACAAGTAGATAATGTAGTTGTGCTTGTCTTTAAACATGTAAGCGTGAATCTGTTTATATCCAACGCTTTTTTTTCCCACCATTTTTCATGATGAAAACAAGGTGGTTAAATACATAAACTAATCATAAAAACTTAATTGGACTTCTTCATCCTTTCTTTGTCACCTCGTCTCCTGGTATATTGATCAACTTATCGGAACAGAAAACGAAACAATACAGGATTTTATGAGATAACCTGGGTTGTTCAGAATACCATGCTTGCGAGATATTGCCAACAAGTTACTTAAAACAATAAAATCGTTTATTTTTACAATAGTAGACAAACGCATTATAAGTACATAGATTAGGGGTAAGGTCTCAAACAATGAAGCTGAATGACGCAGGTTTGAATTCACTGGAAAACCTCTGTCCACTCAAAATGACAGGCACGACTTAATGATGAGTACCACTTTTTACAGAAAACCAGTATCAACTGCGTTTCCTGCTAAACATCTCCAACTGTTTGACGCTAAAATAAGTCGATTAGATTTGTAATAATCTGGAAAATTTCATCTTTAACTATGTGATTAGCCTAAGTTTATCATAATAAAAAAATACAAATTTAGAAAAGTAATAAAATGTTCTAAAAAGTTATGTGGATATTTGTACAGTTTCTTCCGAAAACGTATGATATAAGAACCCATTAGAAACCGAAGAAACACTCATAGTTATTACATATTGCAAGATATATCGCTGTAAATGCTCCTCGAAATCTTACATTATTCTAAATTAGGCATAATTCAATCTGAAAGATTATGAAATTCCTTATTTATTTCATAAGTACTATGAGATATGTGTTACGTAAGCCTTAGGACCGACTGCCTCGTCAAGCTATGTTTTGTAGTGTAGGGGTAGGCTGAAAGAAACCTAGGGGCAACCAAACCAAAATATGGCACGAATCCATGAAGTCACTGAAAACTGGATTGAGCCATATTGGTAGGTGTAGACTACCAGGTTGGGGTCTGCGAGATGATAGTAATCGATGGTTAGAGAACTTGAATGACATTACTGAAAATCGTTTGCAGTGGCGTTGGTGCATCCATTCCTTGACTTCTTTCAAATCCTAATCCTCTGGATTCTTCATCACCTTTATCTTTCTCTTTTTAAGTTCATTTCACTAGACTAGACTACTAGAATAGTATCTTGGAACCCTAATCTTCCCCATTACCGTTAATACATCTACTACTGTGGGATTTGAATCAACAGATGCGATACAGTAGAACTTGCAGTTTCCGTACAACTACCATCAGTTATGTTCAAACAAGTGGGAGTTTCAAAATGTAATTGATTTCCTGTGACTTGATTTGTTGGGGAAGCACCTAAACCCAAAGCCCGTGGTACAAACGTATGCATTGTCTGAACACCATCTTGCAATTCAGATTCCTGGAAAGTTGATGGTGCAGGAGATGGGGCTCCACTGGTCTGCAAACTTACTGACACAGTTTGAGGATGAGTGCTACTTGACTGAAGCTCAATTAAGCGATCACGAAGCTCTGTACAATCTTTTTGAGATTTCGTCAGTTGAGTTCGTAATAAACGTTCTTTTTGAGAATCTGAATGTTGTTGTAAACTATCGATTTCATTACATAAACCTGACATAAGACGACGAAATTCGTTGACCGATTTCTGACCATCAGACATATTGGAATCAATTTGAATATCTGATCCTTCAACAGATGAATTCATAATTGCTATAACTGATTCTCTAGACTTTATTTCATCCAAAAACTGAAGAGCTTCTGTTACACTTGCTTCCAAGATGCTATATTCGGTACGTAAAGAAGAATAGTCAGAACGTAAAGTAAACAAATCCGCTCGAGCCTCAGTTAATGCTTCATTTGTAGTCTGAAGCTGAGCTTGATCTGATCTGCTATCATTGAGTTTTCGTTGTAATACCTCGGTTTCGTGACGATATTTTCGTCCGATTTCACGAAGTTTCATTATTGTTGTCTCTTTTGCACTTAAATCCTCTTTTAATAAATTTTCTTGAACACTGAACGAAGAAATTTTCTGTTCAGCTTCTTGGCATGAAGTACGCATACTTTCTAAAAGATCATTCAATTTGTTTATTTTATCATCTGATTCATTTTTTAAATCGCATAGTTTATTAGCATTATTTTGAACTTCTTCTTCAGCTCGATTTAATTTACGTTGTAATTCATCACGTTCATTACATGCAAGTCTATATTGTTCAGGATACATGCGTTCCTTCCAACGATCACGTTCTTCTTCAAGGGATCGTGATGGAGTTACATCAACTAAAGGATTGCTGACAACCAGATGACGTTAGGCAATTGTATGTTATGAGTTAGTTATGAAAAAACAGAATTTAATCAGTTGTTATAATAGGATTCTAGGAAGTATAAATTTACAACTTAGTTGCTTCATAGATTCTCCTTTTCATTCGGAAGAGCAAACTTAATGACAAACTATTCAGTGTAATTTTGCAAAAGAAATCTTGAAACTATGGTGGCAGATATCTTGGCTATTTTGTTATCAAAGCCTTGCCAAAATTGATATTTAATGGAATTATTATTGAGGTGTGAGCTTTTCGTTTAAATGCTGGGTTCAGCTTTATGTGAGTATTCCTTCATTTGAACATAAAATATGTAACCTGTTTAAATGATTTAAGGCTCCACTATATGTATATATATATATATATATTTATATACATTCAGGGAGGTACTACGATTGGTTCAGCTAGATGTATGGATTTTCATGAACATAGTGGACGTTTGAAAGCTGCTGAAAATTTAGTCAACAACCAAATCACTAATTTAGTGGTTATCGGTGGTGATGGTTCTTTAACTGGTGCTAATCTATTTCGATCCGAATGGTCAAGCCTACTGAAAGAACTTGTTACATTAAGTAAGTTTTAGTAATATATGTTAACATATTGGCATGGTGAAATTATCATTTTTATGAAGAATAAAGGTTAAACAATTTTGAACCGGAAATGGTTCTCAGTCATTTAGAACGTAGAACTTCGTACGTACGTACATCAGTTCGAGTTGCCACATACTACATTAGCACAGAAACGTATCTGTTGATTCAAATCCCACAGTAGTAGAGATAGTAGATGTATTAACGGTAATGGGGAAGATTAGGGTTCCAAGATACTATTCTAGTAGTCTAGTCTAGTGAAATGAACTTAAAAAGAGAAAGATAAAGGTGATGAAGAATCCAGAGGATTAGGATTTGAAAGAAGTCAAGGAATGGATGCACCAACGCCACTGCAAACGATTTTCAGTAATGTCATTCAAGTTCTCTAACCATCGATTACTATCATCTCGCAGACCCCAACCTGGTAGTCTACACCTACCAATATGGCTCAATCCAGTTGTCAGTGACTTCATGGATTCGTGCCATATTTTGGTTTGGTTGCCCCTAGGTTTCTTTCAGCCTACCCCTACACTACAAAACATAGCTTGACGAGGTAGTCAGTGGTTGGACATTTTTAACATATGTCTCAACCAACTCAACTGATAAAGTTTCAATACTTCATCTATTGATCTCCGTTTGGAGCCCCTCCGGTGCTATTGTCTGTTCAAAGTCCGGGTAAAGGAGGAGGGTTGAGCATGGGGTTGGCGACCTCAACTCGTAGAAAGCTAACTCGCAGTAATTATTGTATTTCGACCTACTTTACACTTTTAGTTTACAGTTTGATATCAATAACTGATTGTAATTAAAATACCCACTGAAAACCACGGAGAACTGCTCAATTGTTTGTTCACTGTATGAGGCTCTTTTATAGTACATACTAAAAGCTCACTAGTCGGACTTGTCTCATAGTACACACTGATTAACTTTATCGGCTTCATCTGTAAGTAGATATTTGGTAAATTTTCATGCACTTACAAATAAGTCACAATCAAAACTAACATGGTCAACTCAATCGAATATGCCTGTACTAATATTTTCTGTGTACACAGATTTGTGCCTCTTTTTTTATGTGAGAGCTAGTATTACCACTCAATTCCCCAAACCAGAATAAGAGGATTGAACCTCCAATCTAATAATAAAATGTTACGATAACCGTACCACCATCTCATTAACATTTTCTAGTGATTGATTATTATTTTATCTTATATATCATTATTATTGTTACAGATAAAATTAGTCCAGATAAAGCTAAACAGTTTGATCATTTGAATATTGTCGGTTTAGTTGGAAGTATTGATAATGATTTTTGTGGTACAGACATGACAATCGGTGCAGACTCAGCATTGCATAGAATAATTGAAGCAACTGATGCAATCTGTACTACAGCTCATTCACATCAAAGATGTTTTATTTTAGAAGTTATGGGTAGACATTGTGGTTATTTAGCACTTGTTGCATCTATGGCATGTGAAGCTGATTGGGTATTTATACCGGAGATGCCACCGACTGATGATTGGCGTGAGAAATTATGTCATAAACTTCGAATGGTAAGTAATTATCTATTTGTTATATGAAATTTATTTTGGTTGAAGCAATTTTTTCAATTTCTGTCTAAATTATTGGAATCGTTTGCTAATGAGGTTACGGGTGCTCAGAGTCCTGTACTAGGAAGAAATAGCTGTTTAGTGCTCTTTAGCTTTCAATGGTATCCTAAATCAGATCACTTTATAATCTAATAATTGTTTATAAGCTTGCTTCCTAATGAATTGACAAATTAGATCTATTTGAAGATAATTATCCAGTGACCGATAATTCATCGCGTTCATATATACCACTATACAGCTTTGAAGATGGACTTGTTGGAAAGGATCCCTTTTTCGAATAAATTGTTTTCTGATTCAATATTCCTACTGATTGCTGATTGACTTAAATGCTAAGCTTCGAAAAATTCTTAGTTATACTTCATTATGCTTCAGTCTAAGATTCCAATACTTAATTAGTTGATCATATCTCCATATTAGTTGACTTACATTAATGTGAGCGATATCAAACGATTCGGAATTGATTTAACTTTTGCAAAGTTATCATCTGTAGAAGCATTGAAAACACATCTGAAAATTCATTTCAGGCATTCAGTAATATATGGAATCAAATCTTTCATTCTGTATGTATATTTGGTGCAAAATAGTCTTTCGCTTCTTGACATTTACGTCAGAATCTTCATTTAGCAAATTTTTTTTTATTTCTAAAGTTATTCCAAATTTTTTAAAGTATTTCCTACCTCACTTGAGCTACACATGCTAGAAATTATAACCACAATTACAAATATTTAATCAATTCTGCTTTTAGCTCTGAGTCAAAATCATCCTTTAGTGATGTATTTTAGACTATCTTTGTTTAATGATACGAGTACATTCAAAGGGTAAGTGCGATGGGAAGAAAATCTCATATACGACATTATACTTCATTTAATTCAATTCTAAGGGTTTGAACATTCTAGTGGTTAATGTTACAGCCAGGAACTAGTCGGCATGTTTCGTCATATGAGCGTTTTGAGAGAATTGGCTCGATATTTCCATCTATTTACAATCTCTTATTCAAGTGGGCTATTGGCTGCCAGTAGAATCCAGAACATACTTTTCGTCCTATTGATGACTTGTGCGGTGGGTTTACCCCTATCACTCTGCTGATGTTCGCTAAAAACGATGATCCTTTTTAGCTTCACTATCATTCATAATCGTAAAATTTAGAGGTTTCAGTCCAACACGGTCGGGTTTTGTTTGCTGCTTTATTGTCATAACTTTTGTGTAAGTGTCTACTCAACTTGGTAAGACATTAAAAATAACTTTCGTTAAAAAATGGGTACTTGACAGAATAACTACTGAACCCAGATTTAACGCCAGTTGATACTCATCAACAAGGCAATTCACTTTCTCCCTGTAGGATTGGGAAGAAACTGCTCAATTCATCTCTACAATCCTAAAAATAACCACTGGACTATTCAGGTCACGAATAACCTTCTAAAATTGAAACTATTTATCAACCATAGCAATAATAAAATGAAACATCGTAGCATTAAACGAAGACAGTGTGATGGAGACAATCTACTAGCAAAAAAGTGTATACCTTATCATAAAAGGGTATTCTTTTATGTCTTCTTCCACATGTTTTCTATTCCTCGAAACACCAAGATCAAATCATATATCCGGATCTGACACTTTACTTCAGCCGTAACTTCAGGGCAACACTCTGCTACACATCCACAGCATACTACTTATAAGTTTTACCATAAGTAGTACACACCAAAACATCATCTGCTGTAACTTCTATTAACAATATTAGTACAATGAGAGAATTAAAAACTTAAGTATGTACATTTTTACTTGTGATATATATCTATACCAGCAAAAACAGTATGTGTTCATAGATCCAGTTGTTATATTTTCACATTATGGTATGTAACTCGTTAGGTTTGGTAGAGTCTGGTTACCCCTCAGAACTAAACAGCTTGATACTAACCACTCAGTAGTAAAGTTTTATGTACGTTTGTTTTTACTCTGAGAAGTCAGTTGCAACATAAATATTTCGGTGACACTGCCTCTGTATCAGATATTTAGTATCATGAGTTCGAATTCTTCGGTGTACCTGTTCCACCAAAGTTTTAAATGCTCATCCTGATAATTAATGTCAACCAATGATCAAATTTAGATTTGGTGCTTCTCGTTTATTTCCTCTATCTGAAAAATATTTCTGAAAAAGCAAAAGACATCATTATTCCAAATAACTCAATTCAGTGGCCACATCGAAACTTGGTCCACTGAATTTTGTCCGCATTGTAAACTAGACAAATCTACCATTGACCTCTCAATGACCAATTAGTGTAAGAATTCAACTCTTGTACAATCGTTCAAATATTATTTTGACAACTAGCAAATATATGATCATAATTATTATCAAGAAAAATTTGTGAAAATTTCCGATTACTTGTTAGTGTTGAAAACTAGTAACGACGAAAATGGGCTTAGTCTTTGTTCACCTGTAACAGTTTACCAATTAATATCCATTTATCACTGATAGGATTTACTATTGATTTATTTCTTCTATGCATTTTCCTTCCCATTTTTTTAAACTATTTTTCTAATTATCAGAATCGTGAACACGGACAACGCGTCAATATAATTATGGTTGCTGAAGGAGCTATCGATAGAGGTTGTAAACCGATCACTTGTGAAGAAGTGAAAAATTTAATAGTTTCAGAACTTCAACTTGATACACGTATAACTGTTTTGGGCCATGTACAACGCGGTGGTTCACCATCGGCCTTTGATCGTGTTTTAGGTAGTCGTATGGGAGCTGAAGCCGTTCTTGCCTTAATGGATGCTGATCGTGATCCAAATCTACCGGCATGTGTAATTAGTTTGGATGGGAATCAAGCAGTTCGTGTGCCACTTGTGAAATGTGTTGAACGAGTAAGTGGTTTATACGTTTATATTGATACATTTTGCTCATGTCTTTTCACACTTTTTCTTCGATTAGTTGTTTATTATTAAAGAAGGGAATTAGTAGAGATTCTTCAGTTTAGAGTTCCTTTTAATCACAAACGCAACATCTTATAAAATGTCATTGCTCAATTGAATAATAATCATGGGCTGACTAGGGAAAATCTCCAAGACGAATTATTTCTTTATTAACAACCCACCCACTGTTCAACATATTTAAAATGATCAATTCAAACCTCAGTAATGATACCTATAAAAAAGTACTGACTTTGAATCTCAATGTTAACATCAACACTTGTATACAGATACATCCAGATGATTAGTTCCTTGGATTCCTTGGATTTCACAACTAGCTATAACCAAACTTTAGTAAACCTTGTTACTAGGATCACCACTGAGGCAACCTACTCAGAATGTACATGTGCTAAAGAGTGACTGATCAAATCCAGTCCTTAGTTTTAGTAACAGGGAAACTCAAACCCTTACATGTATTACTTGCTTAGTTTACTTACATTACTTACTTATGCTTCTAATGTAGCTTAGATTTCTGACCAGCACTCTCCAACCTACTATGTCCTGGGCCTTTTCCAGTTCTACCCAACTGCTGCTTATTCTTGTCTGCTTTCAGTTCTTTACGTAATATGTTCTTTGGCCTTCTTTTTCTATGCCGTTGAGGATTTCAAGCTAAGGTTTGCCTTGTGATTTAGTTGAGCGTTTTTCACAATGTGTGTCATATCCACCTCCAGCACTTTTTCCCAAATTTTCCCCCTCCTGGAATCTGGTTTGTTCTCTACAACAGTAGGTTGTCGCTGATCGTATCTAGCCAACGGATCCTCAGTATCTCGTATAAACAACTGCTGTTCCTTTTATTTGTAGAGACAGATATATGTAATACATATATATCCATTCGTTAGTATTAGTTCAATTTACACATATTCATCTCTACAACTAAAAGGAACAACATATAGGACTTGTTGTTTTAATTATTAGGATGGAAGCTTTTATCAGAATTCACCATAATAAATACTACAGTACATTTGAATATATTGATTTCAATAAACGAAAACATGAAGTACTTACTAATCAGCTGCTAAGTGTCTTTACTACACCACTTAGTTATTTTAATATACTATTACTTTTTCTCTCATTTTTCAGACACGTAAAGTTGCTGAAGCAATGAAAGCTCGCGCTTTTGATCATGCCGTTGAATTACGTGGAGCGTAAGTTTTCTTCTTCCGGGTGTTTGAAGTTTTCAAACAATAAACCAATTTAGGATAATCTCCATCAAGCAATAAAATTGAAAATGGTATCATTTAAGTATAAGACCACTCAGTAGTGAGTACCCATGATCACACCGAGAGGTGAACCTGTATATATAGGCTTATATCTATTTATTATAAAGAACAAAGGATTTCCAAGTCCATTTCATTTGCCAACTGAAGATTAAATGTGAATCAATCATTACTTGGTTACTTACACCTGTTACCCCAAAGGGAACATAGGCTGCCGAACAGTATTCTCCAGCCTACTCTGTCCTGAGTCTCCTTTACCAGTTATGTCCAATTTCTGTTCATTCTTCTCATATCTCTTTCCGTTTCTCGGCGTAATGCGTTCCTCGGCCTTTCTGTTTTCCTTTGTCCTTGATAGTTCCAAGTTAGGGCTTGTCTTGTGAAGCGGTCGGGTGGCAGTATTAAAGGTGATGGAAACAATTAGAGTTTGGAGATTTGATTCGAGATGAATAACTCAGTGAAATAAATTTAAAGAGAAAAAAGCCATAGGGAATACGAAGATTAGTAGTTGAGAGAAGATAAAGAATGGATGCATCTGTACCACTGGAAGATGGCTGCATGATGTCACGAATTGATTGGATCTAGAAAGACAAACTTCTGGATCCTGGTTCACTTGTCTCAAGGATCTGAAGTTACTGGGTTCTATCCCTGATTGGATGGTGAACAAACACCGGTCAAATATTCCCTTCACTAAATATATAGAAACTGCTAATATACTTATCAGGAGTGAAGCAGTAGAGAAGTTCATCTCATTTTTCTCATTAAGTTGTGATTTGTACTTCACACTTAATTGAACCAACATATCAGTAGTAGAATGATTGAATAAATCAAACCCGTTATCCATTTGATTCTCTTTCTAATCAAATAAGATGTAACTGTAGGGTCAATATGATAATGATAGTAATATAAAATAACCACATGTAGGTCTTTTATATAAAATACAACATAACTATTCAATATTGTGTTCTACTGAATTATTATGTGTTTGACTCATTTCCCTAAAAAGCATTAGAACAAAATGATGAATACATATGAATTACGCACAACTGAAACTTTACTTCATCAGTATTGATTATTAGAACATGTACGGTAGAATCATTCATACACAGACTACCAGAAGTGAGTTCTAACAATAAACAAACAGAGTTGTGAGTAATTGATTGCTGAGCTAATGTATTATTATAACTACTACCATTACAGATAATATGTTTTTCTTTTTGTCAGTCGAACATATAATATAAATTCTGATTTTTAATAATTTTAGCTAATAACTAAACATCTTTTTTTCACGTTATGTTTAATTTACACAGGAGTTTCATGAACAATTTAGCTACTTATATAAAACTTTCAAAAATCGAACAACCACGTCAAAGTGTCATGGTAGGTATTATTTAGATACAAAATATTTTCATTCTAATTTCGATTGTTAGACATTATCACTACTTGTTTAATGTTCATACTGACTTATTATTGAGTGGATAGTACCTAAAATATCATGTTTGCCCAGTTCTTTTTAGTTTTGATTGAGTTCCATCGAGATCAATTTGCAGCAAAATATGGCTGGTGCGATGTCAAATCACTTAGATTAATGGATTAATTTGCCGTCCTAAATTGTTTAGTCATAATGTCTCAAGTTGTAACATTTTTTATCAGATCGGAGCAATTCTTGTTGTGATTATCAATTCCCTTGAGACTGTACTGAGTGCAAACAACGCTAACAAACATGAAACCTGACTAGTTCGAGTTACCTTCAACACTAATATAATATAGTAGTGTAGAATCGACCTATTTTTCTCTATAACAAAAAATGTTGAAGAAAGTAATTAGGAGGCTACCTACTATTAAATTCTTTTAGTTTAAAGAAAATAATCTTATTATTGTCCCTTTTTTTTTCTTGGTAGTATGCCAAGAAATGCCATAATAATACTTCAATATAATGAGATTTTGAATTCGTGTTAAAGTTAGTTAATTAAATGTGGTTTAATGGTGCTTAGGTATTGATATGGATTGACTGGAACTAATATGGAATGTGGATTACCTTGGTTTTTTTTGCTTATGAAATTTAGCTGTAAAGTTGTGATGACATACTTTAATATTCAATTTTTATAGTCTAAGTCAATTCTAATATGATTGGTACACGATTACTGTTGTGATCGCTGTCCTACTTTAATGCGCGATGTTGACTGGATTGAATGTAGCTTATGTTGAGCTACGACTGGTCAAACTAAGTAGTATCAGTTCACGAAGAAACTGATTGTTGGCCAGTCTAACGAAGATTATTTTATGATGTATACGTCTAGATTCAACAAGCAACTTAAACTCCCTTTAATATTAAACGATAGATCAGAACGATTTAAAAGTATATCATCAGTCCAACTTGCCATAACGATTTATCTTTGATGATTAAGTGAAAGTCTAAATATAAAAAATGTTCAAAAAATGAACATTTTTCAAAATTTATGTTACACCAAATGAATTTATTTGTTAATAGATGAGAAGAAATTTCGAGAATATTTACTTTTTCCAAAATGTAGTTTTTCAATTGGTTATCATTTCAACATCACGAGGTTTACGTTCAAATAGCAATAATTCTGTACTAAAATAGTATGACAGTCATTCAGTTATACATAAAACGAAAGCTTCAGAGATATAAAATAAGTTATAAACAAAAATATTGGTATTTAGCGCACTTCGAATTAGTTGCAATAATAATTCAAAATAAGCTTCTGTTATTTGTCACTGTCTCTTTATTTCCTCCTTCACGTCACGTACCGTGCCACAAAAGCGTACACAAAAAGCAATAATAACGATACTATTATTAGTTGTGACAATTTATCTATAGTGCTTTAAATTCATTATGAAGTTTGTTTAGTGTTGTGTTGTTCAGTACTCAAGGAGTTACGGATTTACATTTTAATGTTGAGCAGACTATTAAATTTAAACGTTCAGACAATGAATTGACTTTCAATAGACAACTGTTGAAAACAAGGAACCATGTCGCAACTGTTTCATTCTGGTGTGAGACTCCTCAACATTGTGCAGCTATGACCATACCAGGAGTCGAACATAAGACTGGGACATATGATAACAGTTTAATCTCCGAATCAATGAGTTTGTATCTTATGGTTTACATTTCTAAATTCTGTCAATTCACGATATTGTGCATTCATCATTCATTAACATTACTGACATTTGTCTCACGTCCAGTTGAACTCCATTGATCATGGTATTTTCCTCGAACTCCAGGAATAATTACTTACTTACTTACTTACTTACTTACTTACTTACGGCCGTTAACCCTAATGGAGAATAGGCCGCCAACCAGTTTTCTCTAACCAACACTGTCCGACGCTTTCCTCTCCAGTTCTGTCCAATGTTTGTTCATTCCTCTCATATCTTTCTCTATTTCTCGGCGTAATGTGTTCCTTGGCCTTCCTCTTTTCCTTTTGCCTTGAGGGTTCAATGTGAGGGCTTGTTTCGTGACGCAGTTAGGTGCTTTTCGTAGTGTGTGTCCTATCCACTTCCACCGCTTCTTCCTGATTTCCTCCTCCACTGGAATCTGGTTTGTTCTCTGCCACAGTACGTTGTTGCTGATGGTGTCTGGCCAACGAATCCGAAGGATTTTGCGAAGACAACTGTTCATAAATACTTGTATCTTCTGGATGATGGCTTTGGTAGTTCTCCATGTTTCCGCTCCATACAGTAGAACTGTCTTGACATTTGTACTGAAAATCCTGATTTTGTTTTTGGTTGAAAGTTGTTTGGAGTTCCAGATATTTTTCAATTGTAGAAATGCAGCCCTTGCTTTGCCAATCCTCGCCCTCACATCTGCATCGGATCCACACCTTGATTGTCAATGATGCTGCCCAGATACGTAAAAGTGTTAACGTCCTCCAAGGCATCTCCTCCATCAAGAGTGAGTTGGTTGGTGCATGTTGTGTTGCATCGGAGAATTTCGCTTTTTCCTTTATGTATGTTGAGACCTACTGCTGTAGAGGCTGCTGCTACACTGGTCGTCTTCTCTTGCATTTGTTGTTGCGTGTGAGATAGAAGAGCCAGGTCATCTGCGAAGTCCAGATCGTCCAGCTGCGCCCTAGCTGTCCAGTTGATACCATGCTTCCCTCCAGGTGTTGATGTTTTCATAATGTAGTCGATCACCAGGAGAAAGAGAATGGGTGAGAGTAAGCAACCTTGCCTGACACCGGTCTTCACCTCGAAAGAGTCTGTCAGCTGACCTCCGTGCACGATTTCGCATTTGAATCCATCATAAGAATTCCGTATGATGTTAACTATTTTCTCAGGCACACCGTAGTGTCGAAGAAGCCTTCACAGTGTTTTCCTGTCCACGCTATCAAATGCTTTCTCGTAGTCGATGAAGTTGATGTAGAGTGGTGAGTTCCATTCAATTGATTGTTCCACAATGATCCGTAATGTAGCAATTCGGTCAGTACACGATCGATTCTTACGAAATCCGGCCTGTTGATCTCGAAGTTGGGCGTCTACGAAGTCCTTCATTGTGTTTAACAACACCCTGTTGAAGACTTTGCCTGCTATTGAGAGAAGAGTGATGCCTCTGTAGTTCTCACACTTGCTGAGATCGTCTCTCATTGGTATTTCGATGAGGTATCCTTCTTTCCAATCTGACGGTACTTGTTCCCCATACCAAATCTTCTTGAAGAGGATGTGAAATATTTTCGCAGTTGCTTCTACATCTGCTTTCATTGCCTGTGCTGGAATGTTGTCTGGTCTTGCTGCTTTACCGTTCTTGATTTGTCTGATGGCCATACTGATCTCCTCAATCGTAGGTGCGCCAATATTAATTGGGAGATCTGTGGATGCTGCTCCGATGTTAGGTGGGTTCAGTGAAGCTGGTCGATTCAGAAGTTCTTGAAAGTGCTCTGTCCACCTATTTGTCTGTTCTTCAGTGTTGCTGATTACTTTCCCTTCCTTGCTTTTCACTGGTCGTTCTGGTTTACGATAGTTTCCAGCGAGCTTCTTTGTAGTTTCGTACAATTGTCTCAAGTTTCCGTCTCTTGCAGCCTGTTCCACCGTCATTGCTAGATCTTCCACGTATTTTCGTTTGTCGGCTCTGATGTTCTTCTTCACTTGCCTGTTTGATTCTGTGTATGCAGCTTGTGCGGTAACTTTCCCTCCTCTTGTTTGGCTGACATTGATTTCTGCCTTCTTGTTCCTCCTTTTTTCAATTTTTGCAAGAGTATCAACAGAGATCCATTCCTTGTGATGGTACTTCTTGTGACCCAGAACCTCCTGTTATTTTGAAGTGATTTTCTCTTTGATCCGTTTCCAATTTTTCTCCATGGTTGTTTCCTCTCCATTTAGTATATCGTGCAAATCCTGGAACCTAATACTTAGGGCTATCTCGAATTCGTTGAGTTTTACGGTGTCCCGAAGAAAGGCCGTATTAAACTTGTTTGATGTTGTCTGTCCCGTTGTCCAGTGCTTCTTTAGCTTCAGTTTCATTCTGGCGACCAGAAAATGGTTATCTGAAGCTATATCAGCTCCTCTCTTGGTTCTCACATTCTCCATGGTCCTTCTGAACTTTATGTTGATACAGATATGGTCAATTTGGTTTTGAGTAGTGTGGTCCGGTGAAATCCATGGGGCTTTTTGAATGCATTTGTGCGGGAATATTGTGCCACCGATGACCAGTTTGTTGAAGGCACATATGTTTGCAAATCTCTCACCATTTTCGTTTCTTTCTCCCAGTCCATGTCGTCCGATGATGTCTTCATATCCAGTGTCGTCCATTCCAACTTTGGCATTCAGGTCTCCCATAAGAATCGTCAAATTCTTTAGTGAACATTTCTCGACGATTGACTGCAGCCTTTCGTAGAATTGATCTTTAACGTCGTCATTGTAGTCATTGGTAGGTGCATAACATTGGATGACGTTCATTGTAATGTCCTGTTTCTTTGTTTTGAAGGATGCTTTAATGATCCTGGGTCCATGAGATTCCCATCCTATCAGTGCCTTTTGTGCATGTTTGGACAGCATCAGTGCAACTCCTTGTGTATGTAAAGCATTTTCTTCATCATGACCAGAGTATAACAGTAGTTCTCCTGAAGCTAGTCTCATTCGTTCTACCTGTGTCCAATGTGTTTCACTGATGCCGAGCACCTCGAGGTTGTATCTTTTCGTTTCTGCCGCAACTTGAAATAGTCTTCCAGTCTCCCACAATGTACGAACGTTCTATGTATCTAAAAGAATGGTTGCTCTGGTTGTCAGAAGAGGCATTAGCCCCGTGACCTCCGAGGGAACTCGGCTTTCATCACGCGACGTCATGATTCTTTTTTCAACTCCCAGGGCAGAGTTAAAATGGTTTGAATTATTTTTTCTGGTTAGCGTTTTTTTGGCAAGTTAGATTTCGACAGAATGGGGTCGCCAACCCCATGTCCAACCCTCCTCCTTTATCCGGGCTTGGGACCGGCAGTAGCCCTGAAGGTTCTACTGGCGGAGTTTCCAGGAATAATTGCCTCTCAAAATTAGTCACTAACAAGCATATACTTAGTTCTATCATATTTTTATTGCTAACCAACACCATTTTGTAATGCAAAACTTCAAATATATAGATTCGTTCTATTCTATTAGTTTCTAGTCACTAGGTCTCAAGCCTGAATGCCGTTTCAAATATTTTATTTCGAACAGTCAGTTATTATCACAAGCCCTTACACATAAATCGTGTTTTATTAAAGCTCACTAGTATAAATTAGTTATTGAGTGTTTGCATCACATTAGAAATGCAAAATTGCAAATAATTGCCTTCCATACACTTTAAGTACTTTTATTGATAACCAGCGAAATCTTAAAACAGATGGTTGTTGTTCAATCCTTTCTCTCAATTTTATTCACAAACTATGCATTCATATTTCTTTATAGTTGCCTTTACATATGATTATTCATAAGACAAATATTTTTTTGATAGCGGTTTTCGACTTCTTACACATCTAGATAATACATCACCTTTAAAATTAAAAAAAAAACTACAAGTTGGATGTTTCATTGTGCTGGTCTATAATGGTTATTTTACATGAATCTAAAGTAATTTTTGGCATGTGTTTACGCTGTAACTATAAAAGAACACTGAAAGATGTTATGCCTAAAGTTGGTTTGCTTCACAACAGAGTTAACTATCAAGTAATATGTAATAGCTGACTGTTTCAGTAGTATGCTGAAACCTAATTATATTCTCAGTCTGCTTATTACTACTCAATGTTGAACTCGTTTCCGACTTTTCTGAAAAAACGCGATTTTCATATATGTGAATGTTGGGTTAGGGTGTAGTATTCAATGAGTAGCATGACACTACACACAACTATGTATTAATATATATGTATATTTTGTGTCTATATTTTTGCAGTCATCTGAAGTAAGTTTATTTTCGACTTTTGACTGTTGTGTTCCACCATGTTATTCCTTCATCTCTCTATCGATCTATTCATAATTTGTATGTGTACGTCTGCAGTTATATCGTGGTGAATAGGCATGATGCGTACTTTTGATTACTATCAGGTCATCAGATATACAATCATATTTTATTTTATCACTCACTGTAAATATCTATATTTAGTTACACAGATATTAATATTTGAAATATTTCATTGAATATTAACTGCAGACGTTGGATGAATTGTTTTAAAGTTCGATTTATTAACAACACAGTCATAAAACGTTAGCTGCTATGACTATTTTTATTGGCTAATGAAGTTACCAAGTTGTCAGTCATTGTAGGTATTAACATACTAATTATTATCATTCTTGTTATCTTGTACTATATCACACATCACTCATTTGGTGTACACAATATAACTCCAACTCCTCTCTCATCCCGTCTTTATCACTCATGATTTCATAATAATGCATGGATCGTCTTTATCATATTCTTGCACATTCACAAATATATGACCTCATTCATTGCGTGCATCTCATCTTCTTTGCATATGTTGTAAACATAAAGCTTACCTATTCTCAAATTGAGGTTATTTAACTTTTCTTCCTTATTGATGTGCTTGTTAGATTTAAAGGATTGATTGTTTGTTATTTTAATTTATCGTATCTTACTCTTCTTTCCTTTATTTTAGACACGAAATTCGTGTTCTCTTATTCAATCGATTATATTGTATTTCGTTGCATGTCATGGTTTTCTGAACAGTATTATGGTTTGTTCATTACTGTTAGCAGACGGATATTAAGGTTGTCAGTTCGTAAATCGAAAAAACTCCACGAATATTATTGATCTATCAGATTCATGAGCTAATGATAGAATTACTCGTCTTCATTGGTTAAGTAAGCTATATTGTTTCTGCAGTTACTGCCTTCGCGAGTCCCTACAAGTTGTGTTAAATGTGTAACACTCCTCATGTTATTCCGATTTTAAAAACTAAAAAAGAGAATAATCATAATGGTATCAACTTCAAGTAAACATTTCTTGACCGTAGCTTCTATCTTGACCTAGTGGTCAGGTCTACTCATTGTGACAACTCAACCGAGCTCTATTGGCTAAAACACATTCCTTTAGGTTCTACCATGCCAAGCGGGTTGGCTGAACAACAGTTGGACTGAAAGCAGCAACCTAAGGTATGAAGGCGAAGCATTTACCATAGTCTTCTCACAAAGGAAGGGAGCCGTTAGAAAAGGTCGACCCTAAAAATGTCACACCTCACCTTACCCAACGGATGTCTGTCTCTGGTGATAAAGCCTTTTGAACAACTGAGCTAACACTTCAAAACCTCGAAAAACGCCGTAGACACTTGTCCCTAGGGCTCTGCAGTTAATCCCCCCTGTCTCTAAAACCAACAGTAACCCAACTTCCTTCTCACCTTCATCAAGAAATACCCTTCCACGGTATGAGTAACCGGAGGGTGACATCCACCCTCATACCCCTAATAGCACACGAGACCAACTTGCTCATAAGCAAATCCTTCTCTCACCTCTTAGTAACTCTCTTATCTCCACATCTCACTCTTCTCGTATGTCTCTATCATCCCTCCCTAGACCACATTTTGGATCTTTTAATGTCCAGACCTTGTGACAAATAAGACAACAGGAGCTATTCATTTTCCCTCACCTTGTCAAGACAAACAACCATCGCGATTTATAGTATTAAGAATCTAAATGTTAGTGTTTAAAAAAATGTTAGCTTCCCTAATGCTTCAACTTCTTACTAGAGCTCATGAATAATAGTCTGGTCTCAGATCTGGATGTGAATGTATGGGCCATATATCTACACTTTGTAAGGTCGTAGATGACGGGCACACATTCAGACGTCTGCTACGTCTGTATTCATCGCCTCTACTGGAGAGTTTGGTCACACTGCTTTGCCGCTCTTAATTTATTCGATGACCATGCTGATTTCCTAATTGTTGGTGAGCGAACATTGATTAGGAGGTCTGTGGGTGCTGCTTTGATATTCGATGGGTTCAGTAGCGCTGGTCGAATCAAGAGATCCTTTAAGTGCTCGACTTACCTGTTTCGCTGTTCTCCAATGTCGGTGAATAATTTGTCTTTCTTACTTTACATCGGTAGTTTTGGTTAAAGAAACTTTCCTACAAGCTTCTTTGTTGCATCGAATAGTTTTCTCATGTTTCCTTCTCTTTTTAGTCATTTCTGCCGTCGTTGCTAGATCTTCCACATAGTTGCGTTTGTCGGCAGTGATGCTCCGCCTCACTTGCTCTTTTACTACTGTGTATTCAACCTGTGTATTCAACTTTCTCTCCTCTTTTTAGGCTGACGTTGATTACTGCCTTCTTGTTTTTCCTTTCTTCAATCTTTTCCAGTGTATCAATGTTGATCTAATTCCGTGTGCTGGTGCTTCTTTTGACCCCTTCTGATATGTTGTAGAAGAAACAAGAAAGCACCGGACAGGTGTTTTATTCTATTATGGAACTCCTCATATAAGTGCTCATCCATAACTCTAATAGGGATCGAATTTAGCATCTCCAGAATTCATGGGGAGAGTGATATTAAACACTGGGAAGCGTAAACGAAAGCATTGTAATTGTTGGTATAGTTTCGTCTCTCAATACCCTTTGAAATATGAAAGTCGGAGGCGACTACACCAGAATTCATCTACCCATTAATATGACTGATTAGGAAAATAGTTTGGGCATCTAGATAATTGATAACAACTAGTGGATACTGACTACTGAAAAACATTTAAATAAAACAGTTTTGATGAATTTTAATTCGAATGAGTATTTAGGAGAAATTTGCTGAATTAACGCATGATCGTTTCTAAAAATTCTTGCTAAAGCAATCCCAAATTACTCAAATTTTCATTTCCAGTGCTCAAATCTTACCACACACGTTTTTCGCATAACCTCTGGCTTTATCAGATTCATTACTTACTTACTTACTTACGCCTGTTACCCCCAATGGAGCATAGTCTGCCCGCAGTGTTTTCCTATCCACGCTATCAAATGCTTTCTCGTAGTCGATGAAGTTGATGTAGAGTGGTGAGTTCCATTCAACTGATTGTTCCACAATGATCCGCAATGTTGCAATTCGGTTGGTTACACGATCGATCCTTACGGAATCTAGCCCGTTGATCTTGAAGACGGGCGTCAACGAAGTCCTTCATTGTGTTTAACAACACCCTGTTGAAGACGTTGCCTGCTATTGAGAGAAGAGTGATGCCTCTGTAGTTCTCACAGTTGCTGAGATCGTCTCTCATTGGTATTTCGATGAGGTATCCTTCTTTCCAGTCTGTTAGTACTTGTTCTTCATCCCAGATCTTGCTGAACAGAATTTTGAGCTTCTTTGCAGGAGCTGCCGTGTCTGCTTTCATTGTCTCTGCTGGAACGTTGTCTGGCCTCGCTGACTTGCCGCTCTTGATTTGTCCGATGGCCATGCTGATCTCCTAATTGTTTGTGCGCCAACATTGATTGGGAGGTCTGTGGTTGCTGCTTTTATATTTGATGGGTTCAGTTGGGCTGGTCGAGTCAAGAGTTAAAGTGCTCTACCCACCTATTTGTTGTATCGTACAATTGTCTCATATTTCCTTCTCGTACAGCCTTTTCCGCCGTCATTACTAGATCTTCCACATATTTTCATTTGTCAGCTATGATGCTCTTCTTCACTCCCCTGTTTGCTTCTGTGTGTGCAGATTGTGCCTTAACTTTCTCTGCTTTTGTTCGGCTGACATTGATTGCTGCCTTCTTGTTCTTCCTTTTTTCAATTTTTGCGAGAGTATCAACAGACATCCATTCCTTGTGATGTTAGTTCTTGTGACCCAGAACTTCCGAATCCCGTGCCATCGATGTGCATTGCGTCGCCGAAACGCGCATACAGGATCCTAGTAAAATCATCAATTCGATTTCACCTTGTTCAGATAGAGAATAAACTCGGTTTACGTCTTGTGTATCTGGAAGCTCTAATGCTGCTTCCCGTGGCCCCTCTGGTGCATGTATATTACTAAGTCCTAGGGCAGAACAAGCTCTCTTAGACTGGATTCCATTAGACAATCGCTTGTGCCCTGTCCGATTGAACGGGACAGTCAGGACTTGTAAAGATAGGTAAGCTGTCCGTTGCCTCTTTGTTGTCTCTGCCTACGCTCCCACTAACCGCATTTCGGATGACATGAAAGATGAGTTTCATGGAAACCTCTCTAACCTTCTCCAAAAAGTTAAGCGCTCTGATATAGTAGCAATGGCTGGTGACTTTATTGCATAAGAAGGTAGACTAGGTGAAAAGAAAAGACACCTGGGTGGATCTTATGGTGTCGTGGCTCAAAGACCAGATAATGGCGACCCCCAAAGCCGACACAACGATGGAACCAACTATATCACATCGCCATCAGCCATCGTTGGAGAGGCTCTATTGAAGATTGCCGCTCATTCTAGATCACTTGTTCCAATTCAGAACATGCCCTAGTATGAGCGCGTATTGTTTGTGGCTTTCTGGAGGTAGGAAAGATACTGCGAGGAAACCTCTTAGGGTTTTAATTAATGACAGCATAGCTAAAAATATATTTCGGGAACAACTAGAAAAAGTTAGAAAGTGATGTTAGTGATATCAAAAAAGCTGTGGAAACAGCAATGATATCTGCTAGTAAGGTAAACCATAGGATTAGGGAGAAACGGTGGATTTCATTAGCATCTACTGACCTGATAAATGCTCGTAAACTCATCCCACCTGGCTCTGAGTACAATTAGGAGCGGAGTCAGCTTTGGCGCAGGCTGATAAAAAGCCTACGCAACGACCGTGAACACTGGTGGGTGGCGAAAGCGAGAGAGATGGAAAAGGCAAAGGCGATAGGCAACAGTAGACAACTTTTCCGACTTATCAAGGAAACTGGTATTAGGAACCCGAATGTGGCTGAGACTATTTCGGAAAAGGATGGACTTATTATCCATTCCCAATCCAGGAGACTGGACCGGTGGGCAGAACACTTCAGGGATCAGTTCAACTGCCTCGAGCCACACTTTGGTTACCCACGATCTCCAGTCATCCTGAATGGCAAGTTTACGTAAGCCCTCCGAACCGTTACGAAGTTGAAAAAGCTATAGGAAATCTAAAGCAAAAGAGCGAGCAACAGGACCCGATAGATTGACTCCTGCGATTTTTAAGGATAGTGGTCCAGTTTTAGAAGCTAGATTGACTGAGATCTTAGGTAGAATCTGGGAACTGGGTGTAATCCTATCCGACTGATCTGAATCCCTTATTGTCCCAATTTACAAGAAAGGACAAAAGTCCTCTTGTGACAATCACAAGGGAATAAGTCTAGCTAATATAGTTTCTAAATTGTTGGCCTTGATAATACTTAGACGCCTTACTAGAGCTCGTGAAAAGCAGACTAGAGAAAACCAGTCTGGTTTCAGACCTAGACGTGGCTGTATAGACCACATCTTCACACTACGACAGGTCCTGGAACACAGACACACATTTATACGTCCTACAATAATTGTGTTCTTGGACCTAAAAGCGGCATTCGAGTCTGTTGATCGTGAGGTTTTATGGCAATGTTTGTCACTGAAAGGACTATGTGATAATTACATTGACCTTATTCGAGCTCTCTACTCGAACATCACTGGTCGAGTGAGAGCTTATGGCGAACTATGATCAGAATTTATTACTAAAAGTGATGTCCGTCAGGGCTGTCCACTTTCTCCATTCTTGTTTAACTTTGTCATAGACATGCTTTTAGAGGTAACATCATGTTTGTCTGACTTTTCAGAAGACACGCCTGTTGAATTAGAGTATGCCAATGACATAGTTCTATTTGGTAAAGACGCTGACTTCCCTAAGCAACTGTGTAAGCATATTTGGGATGCGATTCTCCCCCTTGAAATGCAAAATTTTGCTTCAGGTATGGGTTGCATCGGCACCTGAACTGGTGATAGGGAGTGGAGCTTTGGATTCACACAGCTCGATTGTATTTCCCCAACTTATGTCATTTGTGGTGTAGGAGAGATATCGGTTTGCAATCCAAATGAAGAGTGTACTGTTTATTAGTTCTCTCCGTCCTACTATATGGATGCGATACATGACCAGTCAGAGCATAAGATATTTGTAGATTACTGGTTATCGATCACAGGTGTAAGCCAGGCTGCTGCTGGGAAACGGGTACTAGGTAAGGATGGCAAATTAATAGATGAAGTAGTGTAACTTCGTTAGTTGATGTGGTAGGGACATGTGTTACGTATGCCCATCCATCGACTACCTCGTCGAGCTATTTTTTGCGGTTTAGGAGTAGGTTGGAGAAACCTAGTGTCGGTCAAACCAAAACACGGCACGAATCCATGAAGTCACTGACAGATGAACTGAACCACTTTCTTGGGTGTTGTCTACTTGGTTGGGGTCCACAAGGTGATATTAATAGATGGTTAGAGATCTTGAATGACATGACTCAAAACCGTTCGCATTGGCGCACATGTATCTATTCGTTATGCTTATCCTTATCTGTATTCCTCACGACCGTTTCTTCTCTTTTTTTACTTAATTCTTTTGATGTATACATCTCGAATGATATTTTCGATCAATAAGCTTTTTGATTATTGCTGATACGTCTACTGTCTTAACTACTTTGCGATTTGAATCGACAACCACGTCTCTGGATGTAAGTATTGTAAGCGATATTTGTCATTATTATGGCTGTGGAATATTTTTCCGACTCGTGCATTATACTAAAACCCCTAAATCCGACGATGCCTAGTGAAAACACACACCAAAGTATACGTTATGTTTATATATATATATAGTTCATCGAATTCAGTGCATACATTTCTATGAGCACATAGGCATCGATGCCTTTACTTCAGACCATAGTCCAGTGATATTAGTTGTACTGAATGACTGTCAAGTAACGGATTCAGCCTAGCAAATATGCTATCGGTTGAAGATATATTTTTTCACTTATACCAGAAAAGTATTGTGTTAACCTCGGCGCAATACCTTGACTACCCCCAACCAGACGTAATAGTTCGAAAAGAAATATTCTCTAGTTACACTGTCACATTCAACTCATGGGGAGGTGAGTCTTTTCTACCTAGGGAACACTGCTCCGAAAAGCAAGTCGGCCATTAATTTTAAACATTCATATTTTCCAATACATTTGAAAAAACAAAATTATTTCAATAGATAGATAGATAGATCTAAAGATATAATTTCCCTTTTATATTAGAATAATATTATTTTCTTTTCTACATAATAGTTATCACACTTACAGTGGTTTGCGTTTGCCTTACACTTACCAGTTACATGTGTAACATCTTTGATGTATCCTCTTTATACATTGGACTTCACTGATGATTGACTGAATAACTGACTGACTGGCTTATATAATTTTTCATCATTAGCTGATAATATTGTTATTGATAGATGGTACAATTGTCGTACGCGTTGTCAATAGATATAGAGATTAACTAGAAGGTAACACACTTTCGAAGCTATTTTTCTTACTTCTATATAATGAATGCCTATTTATTAAGTATTTCGATCTTATTGTTTTCGGTTTACCCTAGTTCCACGCTTTTATTTGAATTGTAAATTAATCATTGATCATTTTCCATTCATAAACTAAAACAGCTCATTTGTGTACCCATTACTCCATTTTTCATTATTAATATTGTTACTCAGTTGGTCTTCTTTGTGATGTCTGGTTTTGTATGTGCATAAATATCTGGAATATAACAACGATACTGGTGGTCATTGTTCTTGTGTTCTTCCTTTGCGTTCGGGGCTAGTTAGAATGGCACCAATCTTCAGGGAAAGTACAGCAGCTTCTTCATCTTTGCTACATATTGAATGCCTATAAGTCCTGATCTGTGTTAGGACATAACAATACTGGGACTCACAAATTATTATACAACACCAATACAGTTATTTTATGGCATCAATGCCTCATGTCATTTAATTCTTTGATTGTTTTCCGTTAGATTGGCTTTTATATGCAATACCACGTGTTTCTTTTTGGTTTACCTAAATCATCGTTTTTAGCGACACCTTAACACTTACCACTTTTACTTCATATATTTTCATTTCTTAAAAGTATTTTCTGAATACGTGTTGATGTATGTTTTTTTTAAAGATTCATGTACAGATCGTTTTGTGGGATAACTACTTTTTAAGTTAATGCACCGCTTATTTTTTCCACATTTTAGAATAACTTGAGAATCGGTATAGTGAATGTCGGTGCTCCAGCTTGTGGTATTAATGCAGTGATAAGAGGATTTACTCGTTTGGGTATCACCAAAGGTTATACGATTATTGGAATCCACGAAGGATTCTGCGGTCTTTTTAAGGGTGACGTTAGTGAAATACATTGGGCCGATGTACGTGGATGGGTTGGAATGGGTGGTTCTATGTTAGGAACACGCAGGTATATCATTAGTCTTGTCAAAACTAGACGTCTGTCATACTATTTAAATTACTGTTAATTTATAAGTAGCCACAAACATCAAACTTATTTAGTTATTTATAGTTGATCACCAGTCAAATATACTTTATTTTACCAGTTCCATTTAATATTGTATAGACTTAGTAGGGTATTATAGGTGTGACAAAACGCTTTCAATCTGATATCTTCCTATCAGTGTCTGATAAATGACAGTCCAGTTTATCAGCCTTATTGGAAATAATGGCTAATATCTTGAATTCACTGTAGTAATGTTTATCACTTTATCATTCAAGAGCTAGATATTTCGATTGCAAAATATTCAAAAGTATTGTGATCCTAAATAAAAATATCACGACCTATTAGGGAAGTGGAAAATTTGTCATTTTTAATCAAATCGACATCATGAATGTTGATCAGAACATGCTTAAAACACTATGAAGAGCAACCTTATCGTTGTCAACTAATGATTCAGACGTTACAACCAGATGGAATAAGTGATTTGTTTGAGGAAGACACAGTTTCTTACCCAAATCCATACACCTTGTATTCAAACTTGTGTTTGCAAAATAAGCGGATTATCGGCTATCTTCTTTCACATATCTTCTAGTCTTCAAAGCACTTTGATCACGTCATACATCCGGATCAGCTACTCTTGTCTTTTGGGAGACACTGCACTATATACTACTTACAAGTCACGTCCCGAGTAGTTTACACCACATCAAGTCTAGTAGGAAAATATAATCACTTCATCATTTAAGTTTTAAAGCTAATCTAGCCTAACTGAACTATAGTTTTGTGTTGTATTGAATAGTTTTACTTTTATATACTGAATAAATTTATCCTCACTTTTATATTTTGTCCATTTAAATTGACTAGAGATACACCAAATGATTTGGGTATCGAAAAAATAGCAGCGCGATTTAAAGAATTCAAATTGAGCGGTCTACTTATTATTGGTGGCTTTGAAGCTTATGAGTGTATGATAGAATTAGTTGAAGGACGTGAAAAATATCCCGAATTGTGTATACCTATGGCTATGGTACCAGCGACGATTTCTAACAATGTTCCAGGTACCGATTTCTCATTGGGTTGTGATACAGCTTTAAATGAAATAACCTCTGTAAGTTATGTGCATATATCTCAGTTTCCACTTTGCCTCTGGTTGATGTTTGAATTGTTTTTAGTTTGCAAAAGAAGAAAGGGAATTAAGAACTAAATGGTACTGGCCGCAGCCTAGTTTATGACTCTTTAGCGGCGTGTACTTACAGTTATTTCATAGGAACGAGCTCTTATTTCTAGTTTTACTGTAACTATAATATCTTTAGATTGCTGGGATCGAGATATAACGATACTCTTGTATTTTCCTTGAAGTGGATATTTTATTTCACCTGTTACCTTCAATAATTCGATTAGGAGAAACACTTCCAGTAATAACAAAATAACAAAGCCATCATCTACAAGATACAAATATTTATTAACAGTTGTCTATGCTAAATAATCCTGATCCGTTGTCTAGACAACATCAGCAACAAACTACTGTGGGAGAGAACAAACCAGATTCTCGCGGTGGAGGAAATCAGGAAGGAACTCTGGAAGTGGATTGGACATGCATTGCGGAAAGCACCCGGCCGCATCACAAGATAAGCACTCACTTGTAACCATCAAGGACAAAGGAAAACAGGAAGGCTGAGGAACACATTACGCCGAGAAACGGAAAGAGATATTAGACGAATGAACAACAATTAGACATAACTGGCAAAGGAGACTCAGGAAAGAGTAGGCTGGAGAAGACTGGTCGGTAGCTTATGTTCCATTTGGTGTAACAGAGGTGAGACGCAAGGTACTTTGTAAATGGACCGAATCAGCTAGCAAAGGATTGGGTCTTCAGCAGCTGAGGTGGTTTAAATATGTATTACATATGCCCAGCCACCATTTACCTTGACTAGCAATCTTTATCGTATAAGACTAATTCGAAGGGTAGATATATGATATGATATGATGTCCATGAAGTTGTTAACTGTTGGGATGATAGATGCCAGTACTCTATAACATTCTTTTATACCGCGACACCAAGTCACACGCTGACCACTTCTCTGCTCTTTTCACCCACTCCCAGCATCTACAAATAATGCACGATGTGGAGTTCTGAATTTATGTTCAAGCCCTAGAACGCACATTGGCCATTACTGCGCCGATAGTTAGTGCTAACCAAAAACAGGTAGTGGTGTGTTTCAGCAGACGACCGCCGTTATCTGAACTGTGGCCAACAAGTTCTCATTAGCCACTCATACAACTCTCCTGTGACCTGTCAGCCGACCCGATCATTTAAGTCTCTGTTGAAAATACTTTCTGAAGACGATCAATCAACTAGTAATAGGACCCATCCTTGATTGTATACACACTGCAATCTACCGGAGCGTAGGCGAATATAACGGAAAGACATCGTTTCTCTTACCGATTTCTTCTCACTTAGATGGAGCTTCTAATCTAATAGCATATAATTGACTGTTAATGGGGATTCGATCGACTAGCATTTAGTGAGACGGCAATGCCAACAAGACCAGACGAAGATGTTACAGAGTCCCTGCATAAACGCACTTAAAACAAGCTTTATGAAGTGGTCGATGGAGAGCGAATTTGTAGTACATCTCTAGAGTCTTAGATATGCTTCTCGGATAGACAACAGACATCGACGTTTAAACGTTCTAAAAGCATAGCCATATCTATCTGTTGCTCAACCTGTACGTAGGTGGCCAGTTTGAGTTGCGTACATAGCTTCAGAAAGATTGATTCGGAATTTGTATTCGGTGGTAGCATTCAAATTTCCACCATTAGGTGAGCTGCCATATGAGTTGAAGAGTAAGAAAAATACATGAAATAGTAATAAAGGAATAAACAAGTGACGGAATATAAAATAAAAACGAATGTGGCCAGTTAATTGTGAGTACACTTTGTAAGAGAGTGAGAATTGAAACAATCATAAAATGTTCCAGTTTTTGCCATCATTTAGTTTGTTCATGGGATGTGATTACTACCTGGATGCACAAATCAAAGCAGGTGGTTGTTTATGGGCTGATTTGAATAGAAGGTAACTAATATCAGAAGCTATTTTTCCGAGGCCTTATTTGTATATGATGATTACATATTTATTTATCAGCTAAACTATCACAGTTATACATTTCTTTTACCAAAAGCTTTCTGTTATAATTATATGATTTATTGTTCTTGGTTTGTTGACAGTTTATTATTCACAATTTACCATACCCACAGTTACTTTTCGCTCTGTCAGCTTTGCTTCGCTTCTCTTTTGCGTTTCCCTTTCTAATGTTTAAGTCCCCAAAGAATGTATGCTATAAATTAATCTACAGTAATAACCGCCGTCTCACAAACAAGGATCGTCAAAATATAATGTACGGAAATTAAATAGAAGATTTATTCTCTGTTCCTTCTGTAAATATTATTTTCTCTGTTAAAACATTATTTTTTAGGTTTTAGATAAAATTAAACAAAGTGCATTAGGTACAAAACGTCGGGTATTCGTTGTTGAAACAATGGGTGGCTACTGCGGTTATTTAGCTACAATGAGTGCATTGGCTGGTGGAGCAGATGCAGCTTACATATTTGAAGAACCATTTACCATTGATGCTCTATGTGAAGATGTTGTACATTTACGTAAGAAAATTGATGATAATGTTAAACGTGGTTTAATACTACGAGCTGAATACGCCAATAAAAATTATACTACTGAATTTATCCATCAATTATATGCCCAAGAAGGTCAAGGTATATTTGACTGCCGGTAAGAAATCCTCTATTTTTCAAATCGAAACGGACGTAATTTTCATGGCTTACATTATGAAATGACCCTAGTCAAATAACCATTGAAATCCAGCAAACACTTGACAACCGTATCATCGTAGTGTGTTTCCCTCTTGGGTCTGAACGCAGAACATTTAAGTCTAAAGTCCAACCACTTAACCTTCAAACTGGTGAATCTGTATCCAATAGTTTACATCCCTAACTTCAGTGTATTCGGAGGAATAATTTATACATCTTTATTTGATTAACTGATCAACTGATTTAATTTAAAGTCGAACTTAGAAAAGATTACTCATGATAATGGAACTGTTATCAGAAGACAAGAAAAGTGAATGGTAGAGACATTTCTGTTTGATGAGATAACTGTCAAGAAGAACTTCGTTTAATTAATTATCATTTTATTGGTAATTTACCGTGTAACGAAGTCAAAGATAACTTAAATTGCTTAATAATCAATCCATAAATAACCGTTTTCTGATTTGTTACTCTCTATTTTAATATCCCGTTCTTTCTTTTCTATATAAGCAGATTAACCTGAGCATAGCTTTATTTCTCTCGAGAATAGTAAGAATTCAATTGTTTAGATTCGCCTCCTGTTCCCCCATGTTGGGAAATCATAGCAATTATAGTGAATATTCTGTTATCACTGATCAGAAATAATTATTAGAAAGTAATCAAGAGGATTTTTATTTCATAGTAGATTATGACACTTGAATAATACTGATTGTATCATTGTGAAGGGATTTGTGGAAACTGTCCTAGTATGGGACTTAGCAGTGTGCATACACGACCCTACACCCGACAATCTAGTTCAATACCTTCAACCTCGTGAGCAAAGCCTAACCTCTAGACCACTGAGTCGACATTTAATTATATTAATGTCTGACTTCAATCAATCAGCGATATTTCACTGAAAAAGAATAGACGCTACTGGTCATATTTATTATAAAGAGATTTGTGGAGATTGTCATTTTAAATACCGAACTGTTCTTAGCCATACCACTCTTTAATCAACATTCACAAACTAGTGAAATTAATATCTGACTAACAAACTTAATCCTCTAATCATGTGTACTCCTTTAAATTGTCGTACGTCTTAAATAGTTTATGACATCAATGCTCGCCAGTTAAAGTCACTATTACTTCTTATTAAGCATTAGTCAGGTAAATAAGATTTCTTAATATGTATTCTAAAATGATGTAATAATTTATGTTTATATTTACAGACATTTTTTGACGAACATATTCATTAAATATTCATTCATATTTATAGGGAACAAAGTAGAATAAAATAAAACACCATTTCAATAACAAAATACTTACTTACTTACTTACGCCTGTTACCCCTAATGGAGCATAGGCTGCCCACCAGTTTTCTCCAACCAACTCTGTCCTGGGCTTCTCTCTCCAGTTCTGTCCAATGTTTGTTCATTCCTCTCATATCTTTCTCTGTTTCTCGGCGTAATGTATTCCTTGGCCTTGAGGGTTCCATGTGAGGGCTTGTTTCGTGACGCAGTTAGGTGCTTTTCGTAGTGTGTGTCCTATCCACTTCCACCGCTTCTTCCTGATTTCCTCCTCCACTGGAATCTGGTTTGTTCTCTGCCACAGTACGTTGTTGCTGATGGTGTCTGGCCAACGAATCCTCCAACTCCCAGGGCAGAGTTAAAATGGTTTGAATTATTTTTTCTGGTTAGCGTTTTTTTGGCAAGTTAGTTTTTGACGGAATGGGGTCGCCAACCCCATGTCCAACCCTCCTCCTTTATCCGGGCTTGGGACCGGCAGTAGCCCTGAAGGTTCTACTGGCGGAGTTAATAACAAAATACTAGGTGCTTTAATTATCGATAAATTTTAGAAATGGTTATATATGTAGTTTACACTACTTAAGATTAAATGAAATTATTATAAGGTTGTGTACCTATAAAATAGAGATAGCAGTAACACATTTAATTAATAGGTTTGACGTCAACTGTTTTTCAAGAAAATTAAAAAACATTCTTATTTCTCTACAAGTTTACCGTTGAAGAGTCAAAATAAAATCTTTTTGAACGCGTGTTTTGTGGGATTCTGTTATTTTCTCAAGAATAATCAACATTTCATAAATTCACTGAAGCTAAATCCATTTGTTACTTCCGTTTCTATTCTCTAAATGTATAGCATTATTGTTTATCATTAAATAGTGCAAGTATATTAAACTATTTCAAAAGTTAGTTTACATTTGTCTTAATATAATCAAAACTTTCATTTTGTTTATGTTACAAATGTTCGTATATTCAGTTGTAACATATTGGGTCATATGCAACAAGGTGACCGACCGAGTCCGTTTGATAGAAGTTTAGGTATAAAGTTTGCTTCCAAAGCAATTGATTGGCTAGATGAACAAATCAACGCTAATATACGTTCAGACTGTAAGTTAGTGTTTCTTTGCTTATTTTTTCTATTCTTTTGATTACACACGTAGATTCACTGCCTCCTGTATTTCGAAAATGTTTTAATAGGGGTGAATAAGTAATATACCAGGTTGTTCCTTGTGTATCGTCCAAGGAGACCAGTGCTTTGATTACTGATGCTTTGGACTCAGAACTTGACAAACAGAAGAGTTCAGGAGTTATTTCTGCAGTAAATCATTCTGCTCAGGCAACATCATCAGTGGTTGTAGGGTAATTTGATGGTAAGTTACGTGTACGTGGAAACTTTTCCACTGAGTTAGAAAAGCACCACCGGACTGTATGTATCCCGTACTTATGCCAGAGATTTCATTTACTAAGTTAAATGATTGCATTGCATTTTCGAAGACAGCTTATCCGGATCCATATCTTCGGATAGAAGTCGAGAAAGACTGTAGATCCCAGCTAACAGTAAACACATATAGAGGGTTGTTCCAATACAAAAGATCGCCTTTTTATGTAAGACGTTCTTCGGAAATTTTTCAGTAAGTTATCGGTACTATTTTAGGCTACGTACCGTATGCTATGGTGTATATGGATGATATTATTATTAGTCAAATTTCCAGAGAACATTATATTCACTTACAAGGCGAGTATGGATTTTTCATAAAGACAGATATGTTCATTTTTATGTTAAGCGTTCGATATCTGGGACAATTATCTATTCGTTTTTCCGGAACGATTAACTGTTATAGTAATTTTGTTCCAAAAATTCATTGCCTGCGTGCTCCGTTAAACGTACCATTAGCTAAGAATGTTGAATACGAATTGAATAAGCAATGTCAAGCATGTTTTGTGAAGGTGAAACAGATCTTGCTATCTGACTCAAAGCTCACTCATCGTGACCCGAAACGTGAGTTAATAATGGCGGTTGGCGCATCCAATTTCTCTTTGGAGCGCTAACTCTCCACAAATTTCTTGATGGGCCATAAAAAGCCATTTTCTCAGCTTATGTATGATTTCCTTAGCTGAAAAAAATTATAGGCAAATTGGAAAGAAAGCTTTAACCTTGATGTTTGCTGTGAGAAGATTTCATAAGATACTGAATGACGGAGATTCACCTTGCAAATTCTTCATAGGCCGTTATTGGTTATATTTGGCTTTAAGAAAGGAATGCTCATTTACACTGAAAATCGATTGACTAGGTAGGTGACTTTGCTGTTAGGATCTGATTTTGAATTACAGACGGATTATCGCAGTTAATTGCTGATAACCGCCAACCAAAAGAATATAGTGTGATCTCTCCCACCCCACTTGAAATGAGAATAAAACGAGTATTTTGTGAGTTGTAAAGAAAGCATCGATTAGTGGTCCTGTACCTCAAAAAGTGAGCAAAGATGAAGGGTTGGAAAGAAAATAAGGTCAAGCGAGAGTTTCACCAATTTTTATTAAGATGTGAGTCAATTTAGGTTTATGATAACTGTGTAGTGTTTAGTGACGGTATTATCTTTCGCTATTAGACACTTTCACATATGTCACCTGAGAATGAACAGAATAAAGGTAGTTATGCTTAGTTATGCCTACTGGCTAAAGATATGAAAGAATATATCTCAACACGTCACTGACGTGCGGAATGCGCACAGGACCCATTAAAAGTAGAGCTCCAGCCGTAACCAGAGACCATTAAGCCTTTGGTCCGAACACACATCGATTAAACAAGGCCAGTAAACGGTCAATATTTTCTTGTGATTGTAGGTTTGTACTACAAATGGCCTGGAATCTACTCATTAAGAAACCCATCCGCATCTGAAACCTTGTTACATCTCAGACAACTATTTGAAAGGTTTAGGACGCCTAAAATTTTGGTTTCAGATAACGGAACGCAGTTGACATCATGTGAATTTTCGGAGTTCTGCCAACTAAATGGTATTGAACACGTCAGAACTCCAACCCATAGTTAAATGGGCAAGCAGGAAATTTCGTTGATATTTTAAGCGAGCTCTCTTAAAGATGGAAGGGGAAGCCGGCGTCGAAAAAACCCCGCAACAGTTTCTCATTCTTTATAGAAATACACCAAGCCTAAATTGTCTAGATGGGAAATCACCAGTCAAAATAGTGTTTGGCAGACCAATTAGGACCTTTATCGATGTTCTGAATCTGAAAAATAAAATGAATGGATTATAAAAATTTATGAATTTACTTACTTACGCCTGTTACCCCCAATGGAGAATAGGCCGCCAACCAACTCTGTCCTTGGCTTCCCTCTCCAGTTTTGTCCAATGTTTGTTCATTCCTCTCATATCTTTCTCTGTTTCTCGGCGTAATGTATTCCTTGGCCTTGAGGGTTCCATGTGAGGGCTTGTTTCGTGACGCAGTTAGGTGCTTTTCGTAGTGTGTGTCCTATCCACTTCCACCGCTTCTTCCTGATTTCCTCCTCCACTGGAATCTGGTTTGTTCTCTGCCACAGTACGTTGTTGCTGATGGTGTCTGGCCAACGAATCCGAAGGATTTTGCGAAGACAACTGTTCATAAATACTTGTATCTTCTGGATGATGGCTTTGGTAGTTCTCCATGTTTCCGCTCCATACAGTAGAACTGTCTTGACATTTGGATTGAAAATCCTGATTTTGGTTTTGGTTGAAAGTTGTTTGGAGTTCCAGATATTTTTCAATTGTAGAAATGCAGCCCTTGCTTTGCCAATCCTCGCCCTCACATCTGCATCGGATCCACACCTTGATTGTCAATGATGCTGCCCAGATACGTAAAAGTGTTAACGTCCTCCAAGGCATCTCCTCCATCAAGAGTGAGTTGGTTGGTGCATGTTGCGTTGCATCGGAGAATTTCGCTTTTTCCTTTATGTATGTTGAGACCTACTGCTGCAGAGGCTGCTGCTACACTGGTCGTCTTCTCTTGCATTTGTTGTTGCGTGTGAGATAGAAGAGCCAGGTCATCTGCGAAGTCCAGATCGTCCAGCTGCGTCCTAGCTGTCCAGTTGATACCATGCTTCCCTCCAGGTGTTGATGTTTTCATAATGTAGTCGATCACCAGGAGAAAGAGAATGGGTGAGAGTAAGCAACCTTGCCTGACACCGGTCTTCACCTCGAAAGAGTCTGTCAGCTGACCTCCGTGCACGATTTCGCATTTGAATCCATCATAAGAATTCCGTATGATGTTAACTATTTTCTCAGGCACACCATAGTGTCGAAGAAGCCTTCACAGTGTTTTCCTGTCCACGCTATCAAATGCTTTCTCGTAGTGGATGAAGTTGATGTAGAGTGGTGAGTTCCATTCAATTGATTGTTCCACAATGATCCGTAATGTAGCAATTTGGTCAGTACACGATCGATTCTTACGAAATCCGGCCTGTTGATCTCGAAGTTGGGCGTCTACGAAGTCCTTCATTGTGTTTAACAACACCCTGTTGAAGACTTTGCCTGCTATTGAGAGAAGAGTGATGCCTCTGTAGTTCTCACAGTTGCTGAGATCGTCTCTCATTGGTATTTCGATGAGGTATCCTTCTTTCCAATCTGACGGTACTTGTTCCCCATACCAAATCTTCTTGAAGAGGATGTGAAATATTTTCGCAGTTGCTTCTACATCTGCTTTCATTGCCTGTGCTGGAATGTTGTCTGGTCTTGCTGCTTTACCGTTCTTGATTTGTCTGATGGCCATACTGATTTCCTCAATCGTAGGTGCGCCAATATTAATTGGGAGATCTGTGGATGCTGCTTCGATGTTGGGTGTGTTCAGTGGAGCTGGTCGATTCAAGAGTTTCTTAAAGTGCTCTGTCCACCTATTTCGCTGTTGTTCAGTGTTGCTGATTACTTTCCCTTCCTTGCTTTTCACTGGTCGTTCTGGTTTACGATAGTTTCCAGCGAGCTTCTTTGTAGTTTCGTACAATTGTCTCAAGTTTCCGTCTCTTGCAGCCTGTTCCACCGTCATTGCTAGATCTTCCACGTATTTTCGTTTGTCGGCTCTGATGTTCTTCTTCACTTGCCTGTTTGATTCTGTGTATGCAGCTTGTGCGGTAACTTTCCCTCCTCTTGTTTGGCTGACATTGATTTCTGCCTTCTTGTTCCTCCTTTTTTCAATTTTTGCAAGAGTATCAACAGAGATCCATTCCTTGTGATGGTACTTCTTGTGACCCAGAACCTCCTGTTATTTTGAAGTGATTTTCTCTTTGATCCGTTTCCAATTTTTCTCCATGGTTGTTTCCTCTCCATTTAGTATATCGTGCAAATCCTGGAACCTAATACTTAGGGCTATCTCGAATTCGTTGAGTTTTACGGTATCCCGAAGAAAGGCCGTATTAAACTTGTTTGATGTTGTCTGTCCCGTTGTCCAGTGCTTCTTTAGCTTCAGTTTCATTCTGGCGACCAGAAAATGGTTATCTGAAGCTATATCAGCTCCTCTCTTGGTTCTCACATTCTCCATGGTCCTTCTGAACTTTATGTTGATACAGATATGGTCAATTTGGTTTTGAGTAGTGTGGTCCGGTGAAATCCATGGGGCTTTTTGAATGCATTTGTGCGGGAATATTGTGCCACCGATGACCAGTTTGTTGAAGGCACATATGTTTGCAAATCTCTCACCATTTTCGTTTCTTTCTCCCAGTCCATATCGTCCGATGATGTCTTCATATCCAGTGTTGTCCATTCCGACATTGGCATTTAGGTCTCCCATAAGAATCATCAAATCCTTTGGTGAACGTTTCTCGACGATTGACTGCAGCCTTTCGTAGAATTGATCTTTAACGTCGTCATTGTAGTCATTGGTAGGTGCATAACATTGGATGACGTTCATTGTAATGTCCTGTTTCTTTGTTTTGAAGGATGCTTTAATGATCCTCCGCCCATGAGATTCCCATCCTATCAGTGCCTTTTGTGCATGTTTGGACAGCATCAGTGCAACTCCTTGTGTATGTAAAGCATTTTCTTCATCATGACCAGAGTATAACAGTAGTTCTCCTGAAGCTAGTCTCATTCGTTCTACCTGTGTCTAATCCGTTTCACTGATGCCGA